GAGTGAGGTGGAAAACACTTCAGCTGTTGATACACTTATCAACCTGCAGTGTCAGCAATGTCTGTTTTTAAGTAAACAGTTCCTGTGTGAGGCCTGGCCTGAAACACAGCTCAATCCCTGCCATTTACGCAAAGCAATAACAAATCATTAATGATATCTGCTTAATCTGGTTTTAATGGTTCAAAATCTGGTAGACAGAGCGTACCAGCATAGCTTAATATTTGGAATAAGAGAATATGTGTAACTATATGAAGTATTACACAAAGTACACAAAGTTAAAGTACAGTTACACTTGTACTTTAACAAAGACGTTAGCTTCGATTGCAGTTAATCAGTTAATTCCGTCAATATTTAAGTGGAGTTCAAATTAAAATGAACCATAACCAGCAAACAACACCAGCTTTTTGTAAAGTTTTTAAGAGACCATGATTGCTTAGGAGTCTCAAAATTAAAACGTGTCTGTATTGAAAGTTTTCAAATAATAGAAACTTTTATAATATATCACTTCCCTGACAGCCCCAAACACTGAAAGCAACCCTCTTGAAGTGTACCTTCAGATAGGTAATATTCATGTCAAACATCGCTAGAAAGCTGTGAGTCTTTCTGATTTACTTTCTTACCGTCTAAAGGTGGAGGCTATTGTAGTCATGCAGTCATAATATTTCAATAAAAATGGTCCCGTGCATTGGGAACAGTGGGGATTCGGTACCTTGCTCCAAGGCACCATGGCAGTACTCACTAAGTGAGCTGATATCTCTCCAGCAACCAGACCAACTTAAAAAAAAAAAACTCAAATCAGGTAATATCCTTGAATGAGGCCCCAGATAGAGATCGGTTACATGTCTGGTCTCAGAACTTCAAAATCAGAACAGTCAGAACCCAAACACATCACATCTGCTTTAAACCCAAATGACAATTTACAAATTATTTCTATTCTGGTCAGTTCTTTTCCAATTCAGAGGAAAAGCATCCCTGAAGGGCAAAGTAACACACTCACTGTGGTCCTGTTTGATAGTAATAAGAACCACGTTGGGTCTGTGATGACTTACATGTAGTGGTTTTTTTCTTAGATGTACTCACATACTTTCTTTGGCTGCTGCCGGGCAGAGACACTAGGAAATGTGCTTCCATGTTTTTTGCTTGTCATATTCTTTGTATGTGAATTAGATCGATTAACAGTGGATGATTTAGACTTTACATATACGGCATACAATGTATCATTTAATAATTGTCTCAAATGCACAGAAAGCACACTGAAGCAAACGGCTAAACTGTAAAAAGGATATCGGGGCAAATATCCAACACTCCACTTTGAATCAACAGCAACGAGTGGTGATCATCAGGACTACTTCTTCATCAGCTGTCATTGCGTGGCATGAAAGCTCACTGTGAAAGGGCTCGTCTAGACTTGACGTCATGTCACTGTCCAGAAGTATACACACACACATTCACACATTCCTACACACACACTAAATAGATTCCTCCCTGTGTCCCCGGAGGTGCCTTTCCCATCTAATCTCCACACCTGCACCAGCTGGGTAACAAATGCCTGACACACTGAAGGTTGCCAGTTGCTAAATATTCAACGTCAACCATCTGAAAAGACTACATTAATACATTTTATTCAGATAAGTACAAAGGGCTTTCGTTTGACCACCACGATGCCCAGTTCTGCTGCAGTGCTGCTGGCTGCTGATTCAGTTCATAGTGTATCCATCTCTTAGTGCAGGCTAACTACTATGGAATACATAATCCTTTTTTGAGATGCAATTGATTCCCAATTATGTTTTCAGATTATTAAATAATAAGTGAATGATAATAGGTGCCATTCAGGTAACATTTACCGGTAATGATTGTCTGATTTTTATTAAAAGGCCATGACAGACCCAAAAAGATTTACCACCTACCTCAATTCATCAGAGTTGAATCAATTTAAAATGCAGTGCTCATTTGTGACTCTGAAGCCTGATGTTTGTTTTTCTGTTTTAACCAGACACGACCACACAGTTTGTTCTCCAGCATCCACGTGTGTTCCATTTAAGCAAATCGTCTGCAGAAACATGTCTATTCATTTAATTTACAGTATAAGTTTGAATTTCGATTGAATTATGTTGTCCTTTCATCCTTCCACACTGCTGTTTCACCTCTGCTTTACCCTTTTTTATGCATATACAAATATTCTACTTCTCTGTAAAACATGTTGCTAGATTAACAGGTTTTACTTCATTTACAAAAATTTCAACCACAATGGGAACTGTTTTTTTCATTTGTTTACTTTATGCAAGAAAATACATTCGTACATAAAGCCACAAGAACTGGAATAATTAAAGGCATGTAAAACACTAAATGACAGAGAAAAGTCCTGTCTGATAATGACAGTAAGACAGGGTTCTTTATCAAGGCCAGGCAATGTGCTCAAATCAATAAGCACAGAGAGCTTGAACGGATTGAAGATTAAAAGAGATGAAAAAGAGACAAAGATGGAACAATAACACATTCCAGAAGCAATAGTTAAGAGAAGACGGGATGTGAGGCAGAAGGGAGAGGAGGAAAATGAAAAAAACAGAAAGCATAGTTAAAGATGAAGAAAAGGAAAATGTAAAACAAGCCAGGGGGGACATCGATGATGAATGCATGGTTGGACAAACATATAGCGCAGTCTGAATCATTGCTGACTCCATACATCACAGATGCACATAAGCTGCTTTGTGCCTCTGGTTTAAGGGACAGCATGGGCTTATGACGATCCGGCCCAGTGCTCTCAGGTCAAGAAGAGTTAAAAATTCATTATCAGGCTTGCAACGATAAAAAATACAGTCAGCAGTCAATCACACTGTCTGGGGTTCACAGGCTGCAACTTTTTAATGGTTTTGTTCTTAAACCAACTCCAAGTGCCATGTTAGGGTCACTTTCTGTTCTTTGCTGTATGCAAGAATTCTGTGTGTGACAAAGTTGTTGACCCTAACATTTGCTTGTTTCCCATGTGTCCCTTCCTGTTAAACCTGGACCTAAACCTATTTTTTGAAGTGGCTTGAAAAATTATCAGACTCAGCCTGCCAAGCAAAGAAGAAGGTTAGAAAAACTATAATGGGGTGTACTTCTCTGAGGAAGAATTAAATATTTTTTTACTGCTCTACCAAAGGGGCAGGTTTTCACATTTCCTGCAGTAACCCACATACACAGGACTTGCTCTGTATTTCCTACTGTAAAGGGAGAATACATCATCGACATTGAATGTCATGACATTGAATGGGCTTTTCATTAGGAAAAGAAGGAAATACATAACAAGCGCTTCTTCCCTTGCCTTGTCAAGGCTCATCTATGAGAGCCAGCCACAAAGGTATTGTGCAAAATAAATTGTTTGAGGTCATGAGTAGTTTTTCTGTGCTTCACAATTAGTATCATCTTTCTGCATCATTGATGCATTGCAAAATAACATAAAACTAAATCAGGCATGTTTGCTTGTTTTACAGCCATGGGGAAAGGGAGAAAAAATACTGACAGAAATGGGAAGTGTTGGGAAAGTCTCTAACTAATAGTGCAGAAAGCGTTGTACTAATCACAAAACAATCTAAAAAGCTCATTATGAACATTTTGCAAGAGCACCAACTCTCCTGACTCCACATTTACGTCACAAACATTTGGAACTACAAGAACTACATCCACCCAATCAAGAGGGTGGCAAGTGGACATTTTTCCTCAGACAGAAACCCTGCTCTAGAGCTGTGCTCCAAATAAGTAGTCAGAAGAGGCGTCAAAACATCATGTGCTTGTTTTTAACATCTTCGACCCATCCATAATGTATGGGACCATAAATCGCTCTGTGAATTTACAAGAAAAGGAGCAGGGGAGCAAGGGTCCAAGCAGGGGGGAAAAGAGAAGAAGGGAAGTGATTTCATCATCCTTTGCTGTGGTGGTGGCAGCCCATACTAACTTATGTAAATCAAACATGTCATCCGTGGGACCACTGTTTTTCCAACCACAATAATGTCCCGCTAGACTGGCTTTCAACCAATCCAGAAAAACCTCTTTTGAAAAACCCCTTATGCACTCTGTCCATATTTGGTAGCACCCTCGTTGGTGGTCCCCTGGTGCCTCTTTGTGTGTGTAAGTGTGTTGGTAGCTGTGCATGCATGTTTTTCATCTTTTCAGGAGTCTAGGTTGGGTGAGCCTCAGGAAACATGCACTGCACCTGTCATGTGCCTGAAGTCCACAGACAAAACATAAATTATTTAAACAACTAAATAAGACTATGAGTTTTCTTAAGTGACATGTAGGAGAAGGGAAAGCACTGATTTGTCCCTCTATCCCTTTAAGGACTGGAAGTCTCCCATTGCTTTTGTTCTGTTTACATGTCTCAAGCTCCAGGTCACTCATCTGTGCTTATTAAACCACTTCCTTGAGCTAGGTGCATTTCCAGGAATAACAGGGAGCAGATTGTACAGCTACTTCAAAACACACAAGCAGGTCTGACGTCTGTACACGAATGCCATGCGACCAAAAGGTGTGACGCTTCAGGAGCCAAAAACTAACATGCTTCTGCATCCCTGGTATACACAGTTTATTTCATTAAATGAGATTATATCAGAGCAAGTTTTATAACGTAAAAGTTTAAGAAAAAATTATGTTAAATGGGGAAATTATGTATTAGGCTGTTTGCTGTGTTTTATTTAATGTTGATTGCTGGAAAAAAACTCAGTAATGTCATGTGTCCGCTAATGCTGTTTGTTTGTTTTTTGCGCTGGCATGGTATTCTTTACAAAATGCGGTTATACATTTACAGGGTTTAAAAAATGATTTCATTGTTTTGTTTTGGTGAGTCACTGAAGCAATTCTCTCTGATACTCGGATACTCTGAGGTTATTGTATGCAGCAGCCATACTCTATTTAACCTAGAAGAGATTCAGGCATGGATGCACACAGTGGATTTCCAGTGCCAAAAGAGGAAAATGTTAATTTATATCATAAATGCATTACAGGGCTGAGCATGCATTTCTTACCTCCAAGTTCTTTTACATTCAAGATGGCATTTGGAAATGGCACTGCTTTGATGCTGAAACCTAAGAGGAGAAAAGTTTCAATCAGTGACTGTAATGATTTAAAGAAATTCTGTGCATATGTGTTGACAGACCATGTTAGATTGATGAGAGTATCCTTTCAATATTGGAAATGAAATTTAAAACACAACATTTTATAATTTAGTTTCCTCGGGATATTTGGTGTACCTTTTCCAAACCGCCAGCTGGTGAACACAACAAGGACTGACATCATATTGGGATTTCACAAATGAAGGAAAATAACACTTTGTGTGGTCCGAGTTAGCACAACAGAAAAACAAGAAAAGCTAAACAGGAAAGTGTTTTGTTCCGTATTGGAGTTAGCGGATAGAAGCTATGCCTAAAGTGCTGCCATATTAATTATGTGGTGTGTTTCTACAGTTTCATCCGGTGGGAAATACATAGTAAAGACACTCATTAAGGGAAGAGATTTAATGTTGCACAAATGATGCTGAATTGTCAATGTGGGACATACGATTATGATCTATAAACTTGTGAACTGACTGCTAAATGTGGTTTTTAAGAACACTTCAACAGAGCAAAATGATGAAGTAATAAGTTAAAGAAAATGCTCTAAACTTCCCTCTCATTGCTCTTCTTTATCTTCCCTCTGTAGATGTTGGCAGGCACTGACAATGCTGACAGCTAAATCTATTTTTAGATAAGTGATGTTAAATTATTCTGTCAAGTTAAGTAATCAACTTTTTTTTTTTTTAACTTAAAAGTGTCTACTCAGTGGGAGATGCAGACACAGAAAACCAGTTACATGCAACACATTTAGGAACTACTCTTCATTAAGCTAGTTCCCAATGACTAAATCTAAAATGAGACTTCTGCAATAGCTCAAAGCTTTCTGCTGACAAAGCCAAGGGAGGAGAGAGAGTCAGTATCCTTGAGGGACTGCATTGAGTATATGGAAAGCAAAGCGTTGACTACCAAGAGAATGATGAACTAACCCTATTGGCTTCTCTTCTGGACATACTTCACACCAGCACCCCCACCTGACCAGAAGAAGAAGCTGAATATTGGCTGGTGAGATATAGCAGAGTGTTCTTGCACTGAGCACTGGGACCTTGGAGGATACTGAAGACATGCTTCCCCCTATTGGAAAGCAGTAATACCTGTATAGCATTATCCATGTGTAATCACATCTAGAGAACAATGTGTTCTTGAAAGCTTACATGTGAGGAGGTACATGACTCTGTTTAAGAACATACATAGTTACTATAGAACTGTTTTTTTTTTTCTTCAGTTCCATAGGATATGTGAGCATACCTGTTGTAGGTACAATGCCGTCGCCACCCTCACTACAGAGACGTGAGAGCAGGCTGGTTTTTCCAGCACCTGTCAGGCCAATGCACACCACATCATACTCTGGTCTTGGCGGTGGAGGTCCTTTACAGCACAGTGCCCGGAAACACTAAAACAAACAAACAAAATCATTAAAACGTTTGAAAAGACCACTTCTTCTGGGACAAAACAGGTATGATTAAGACCTAGCATTTAAATAGAAACAACTTATGGACTTGAGTAAAACCGTCTTGGTCTAAAGCTTTAGTGCATCTCCAACTCAGTAAGAAGGCTTTGAAGGCCACTAAAGCCGCCTCAGTATGATGCAGCATGAAAACCTTATCAAAGATTGGTCGTATATGAAACACTCCTGATTGTCATTTGATGTAAGATGAATACATAGATGTTTAATTCATTTTATAACAGAATTTATAAAATTCGACCTTGAAATAATTTGTAGCAGGGATTACAAGCGTTACTTGCATGCATCTACACTCTAACGTAACATGTTTTTGTCTGCAGTGTGAATGTGTGTGTGGGCCCCGTATGACTGGCCATTATGGCAGCCAGAGGTAGACCTGTCACTCCATGAGTCATGGCCTGGGACTGAGGACCTGCTGTGAGACATTAAGGGGCAAATGCAGTGTGAACCGTGAACGAGGTCTTTAAACTTGTGTGTGGAGAGATCAGTATCCAAAACCAAAAGAAGATCTCTTTTATTAGCAAGACAGGAACCAGTCTGGACAAGGTAGGGAAGACACACACACTCTCTCTCTCTCTCTCTCTCTCTCATCCACTGTATCACATTTCAGGTGGAAGAACATCAACACAGATTGCTTACTGCCTTTGTCAGGGGACAACCCTGTTCAACACACTGCTACTCTGCTCAATCAAAGGCTCTGACAGGAACGAACACACACACACACACACACACACACACACACACGTACCTGAACTGCTTCACATCTGTGCACACATTCTCCAGGTGTGCTTGGGCACACCATTAAAAACAGGGAGAAGCAGATAACAAATGAAAGGATAAATTAATATTGTAAATAGGCAGCCTGCACATCTTAAAGAATTCCAATCAAATTTGAATCCAACTTTAGCTCAATTCTTATATGGAGATTGATCAAGCAAAATGTACAAGAATTTTCCTATGACAAGCAGCATTTGCTGCAAAGTGCAACCATTGGATTGTTGCAGCCTTGATTTTTCTGCATACCCCCAAACATCAGTGACCACCAGGGTCAGTTTTCAGAGCCATGCCAAAACAGAGCTGCTGTTTGATGGAGATGTGGGGAATCTGCTTTCAACAGAACCAGACGTTGGCTGAGCAACCCTACCCCCAGACTTTTGGTGAACCCAACAGTCTGCTCAAACAGGAAACTTTCTCCTATTCCGGAAAAACAGTAAGATCAGAAACACACGCGCATCAGATGGGGGATCACATGTTAAAACTTGGCTTGACGAGGTCATTCTATTCTCTTTGATGCTTTTTGCTCCTCTTGAAGCCTCTGCCCCCACCTGTCTGTTCTAAAGTAAAGATTTCTACAGAAGGTAAAATCTGCCCCCCAGCTGTCAATCCCATGAAATGATGGTCCTCCTAAAGAACACGGAGGTTGAGATGAGGTGAGATGGAGGAACAGGAGTAGCTTTGAAGTTTCTATGAATTGGAGGATTGTTGTTTAGTCACATGCTTATGAAATATTACTGAGACAAAATCACAAGAATGCAAAAGCCTTACTGGCTATGTGGGAGAAGAAAGACAGAACAACTCCCAGCCCCTCTTGATCCTTGTCCACGGCAGATTTCACAACAGTGAAAGGAGCATCCAGGGCCTGACCCTAGGGTCCCTGTGTACACAGTGGGCCCTGTGAGATCGAGAGGGATGGGAGCTCCCACCCCTGGCCCCCTACCTGACAGCACAAGATTGACGAGGAGAGCTTGTTCAAAATGCTCACAGGAGAAAAGTAAATATGTCCAAAGACCTTTGCTTACCTCGAGACATGCCCCTCCCCTGTCAACCCCACAAGCAGTGATCTGAGAGTCAGAGTGCTGTGTCACTGTTACCGAGAAATCAACTGAGACCATTGGATGATGACTACCTCCATAAATCTTAAAGGCATCCAGACCAACAGCTGAGATTAAAACTGTAAATTCAACAGTTATCCAAATGTTGTTGGATGTACAGTATGTTCACACCTACTGAAAAGGACTTAAAATACCCGCTAGAGGGTGGTTACCGGACCCAAGCCCTTCTGAACCTGTTGGAAGCTGATGAAAACATATGCCTGTGGAGGGTTACTTATTTTCTTATGGTGGTAATTTTACTGCCACTCGCCACATGTGTGCATTAAGGAAAGGGTAATCTTTGAGAAAAACTAATAAAATCTTGCAACTTCATCCCAAAATACAATCCATATAAGGTCTGCCATTGCTTGACTTTATTTATTGGCTTCCTCTGATAGGAATGGACATGTTTTAATTGTGCCTCCCTAAAGGACTGGCCCAGACATTACCTCACTGTTACTGTGAAAGCTGATTAGCTAGGCTTTATGTAAATGAGAAACGCTGACAAATATGAAGATAACTTAAGACATCGCCAGGCTGCATTTTTCAGATTCAAGTATCGTTAAAGATAATTGCCAGAAAGGAGGAAAAAAACAAGTCCAATAGCCCTCAATTTGAAAGAAGATGTCAGGAAACTAAATGGGTGACATAACTGGGTCTCCTGGCAGTGGATCAAGACTTGAGCAGCAACACAAGCAGAGGACACAACTGTTAGTGTACCAGTGTTTGTGTGGGAGCGGTCAGGGCAGACCTAGAACTCTACAACTTTAGACAATATTAACTTGTTAGTTAAAAGAATACACATAAAAATATAAAATAGAATATACAGCTCATAATCAGAGTTCAAATGCACAGCAGTGACTTTTTCTCCAATGTCTACCCTAAAACATTACAGACATACCACACACAGCATCACCACCGTGGAGACTGCTGATCTTACATGACCTTCTGTTCATTTGCATACTATTAACATATGACCCCCTCTAGATATTTGAACAGTACATATATGGAAATAGTTTGAGGCACAGGGTTCAACTTCTTCAAACTGACAGGTTCAGTTGGAGTTGAAACATTTTATGGAAAACTGTTATAATAAGTGAGTCACAACCCATCATGTTACAAATTCACCTGATGTAGTCAGACAGAACAGGAGCCATGCTCTTTAGAAAGAAATCACTTTTTATTTTTAGAGGCAATAAATGTGAGTTAGAGGGAAGCCACAGCACAGGACAGGAGAACGGGAAGTGTCATGACAGCATGGTCCAATCTGTGGTACCCTAACAAGATTCCAGTTTCTATGGATTGGTTTTCTCCCTGCTTCAGTTGTGAAATAAATTCAAAACACTGGGGTCAGCAAAGGACACATGCAGCATATGGCCAAAAAGTAGTCCCGCAGTTTATTTTTTGTTAGTCATCGCCTAATCTGCAAAGACATGCTGCATGTATGTGCATTTAGATTTTCCGCCACATGTTAAGAATAAATGCTCATAATCAATCCTAGAACAAGTACTAGAGATGTATCGATTACATTATCTTTAGCTGATTCCTATTTCCAATTTTTACCTGGTCTGACCTGCTCATTCAGATTTTTGGCCGATGCCTTTCTTTAAAGCACTGTAAAAACACTGTACCTAAATCAACTCCTCTCTCAACTCAGTGCTTCCTGTCTCTCTTCAGCTGTCCTGTCTAAAAAAGGCAAAAAGGTCCAGAAAACAACTCTACTGATTCACCCTCTTTAGTTGATATCTCCCCAACCCTTGAATCTTTTTCTTCTCTGCTGACGGAAACCTCACAGCAACACTGCCGTCATGTTAGCTTGTTGCGTGTGTGGCCGTCTGTAGTGTTTGTGTTGCTGAGCTTTCAAAGTAATCAGTAAAATCTTAAAATCGATTCGAATAAACATATATTAGGGGGTGTTCAAAGGGAGGAAATTAGACATCAGATCTTCATCTAGATGAAAACAATCCACTCTGGGAGTCATCCAGAAAATCTAGAAAGGACTGCAAATAAAAAATAATTATAGTGCCCTGGTTTAAAAGCAGTAAGTTCCTGATGACTCGGTTACCACGATGTGGATACATATTGTCATAAAAAGGGGGTGTTTATCCGGAAACTACGGCTACAGAAAATCTGTCAACAAATTTAGATGTAGATTGGTTGACTACCTGAAGCCAAATCTAAAGCATACTTTGTTAAGCCTACACCTAAGACACACACAAGCCATTGCATCAAAATTGCATCAATTCCACATTTTCAAATAAAGTATCTCATTCTGATTTCTCAACACAACTGTGCCATGGTGCACTTCCTCCTGAAAGGTATGGTTCACATCAACAGTTATGCTTGAACAGTTTACACGCATCACAGAAGTGGTGCTAACGAGTGTTAAAATAACTGACTTAAAAAAACGGTTCAGTGAAACACTTCAGGCATCACTAGGCAGACCAAACTACCAACTATAACTTCCTCCTTGTCTGCCAATTACACAAGCTGGGTATGTTTATTTCCCAACAACAGTGGAGCTTGTAAAAGAAAGAAGAGAGGGGGAGGAGAAAAGGAAAAGGATATATGAGACACTTGCTTCTGGGAGTCATAGCTTCCACAGACAGATAGATACAGGACATGGACGGGCAAGCGGGTGGTTTTTATTTTTCCAGACCAAGTGTCGGGACAACACTTGTGTTCAGGGCTCACTCGTGACCTTTGGAAATGACAGTCCTTTATATGGCCATCCCAGCGGAGGAGTGGCGCTAACAGATATGTGTGTAATACACACCAGCCACAGTCATAACACAGGACTGCAGAACCGGGGGTAAACGGAGGGCGGGATTGGAGAAGGGCATGCAGGAAGATAGCCTGTCAGAGAGGAGAGGCAGGGTAGAGGGAAGCAGGGAGGTGGAGGGGCTGCACGGGCTAAAGGGGGGATGGAAGGGGCACATTCATTCATCCTCATTCATCTTCTCCCCCCTTCAGTTGTTGTTGTTATTTGCCGCTTTGAAGCTGGATGGGGGGTGCGCTGTGGGACAGAGAGTGGCTCAGTACAGTGAGGGAGAGGGG